CGAACCCGGGCCGCACGCATGCCAGGCGAGCGCGCTACCGCTTGAGCCACATCCCCAGCCCAGAAATATATTATCTAGGAAAAAAAAAACCCTCATTTTCATGTTGCTCTGATTTATTTACTCTGAACAATTAACATGATTTTTGTTTTACATTACATTACTTAATAATTAAATATGAATGGGATTAATGTGTACATGTGAGCTATAAATAATGAACGTGCCACAGTGTGGGGAGCCGCCCTGAATGAACACACTTAAGTCCTGAAGCAGGAGGCTCTGAATGATTATTGGGCTCCCCAGTAACTCGGGCTTTACCTCTGCTCAGATGATAAGGCGTGGCTCCAGGAGTAGGTGACACCCGTGGGGTTGAGTTACACTCACTGGTTCCTTTGTAATCCTACCTCCTTTGCCCTTTTTTGGATAGAATGTTCTAAGAAACAGCATCCCCCAATAAAAGGCCACTTCAAAGCCTGTGATCCCTCCCTCTCTCTCTCTTATGAGCCTTTGTGACTTTCTCTTCCCCCCTTTACTGGGAGCCTGAGGCCCCCAGTCTGGCAAAGCCCCCCCCTGAAGCTTATGAAAAGATATTCCGTGTCTGCAGGTATTTTGCATCACCCCAAATCCACACAAGTGACTTTAGTTCAGTTGCCCACGCTGGGTGGAGGCAGCAGATTGGCACCCAAATAATATTCTTTGGGGGGGGGCACTCCCTGTGCATTTGGAGGGTGGACTTTGATTAAGCACACTTGGAAAATTCTGAGCAACTTGCATGGGCTGGAAAGGAAGCAGGTGGCCGACCGGGAGGGAGGGACAGAGGCAAGGTTTGACTGTGGTGAGACTGGGCACGTGGCTAGGGACCGCGGGCGGCTGCGCAGCCAGCCAGGACACGCCTGGTTCACGTGCCGCCATTGGAGAGGTGACCCAGCGTCCTGGAGCTTGGGACTCGAGCAGCCATAGGACTAATTTGAACTCCTGAAATGGGCCACAGCTTGTCCCTCCTGGGGTTCATGGCGCAGCCAGCTGCTGCCAAATATCATAGATCTAGTGTTGGGACAAGCCATTGAACTCAGAGAGCAATTCAAGTGCTGCCAGGGGCTGTTGATCCAAATTTGAAGGAGAGACGAAGATTACAGTTCAAACACATTGCGCTGTTCAGCTGTCCCCAGGAGATGTGTAGCACAGTCGATATTCTTGCCTTGTCCCTCCACGGACGGCCAGGGTGCAATCCCAACTCCCGGGTCCCAGAAGGGGCGCATGGGGCTCAGTTGCTTAGCCAGGAGCGCCCTCTACTGGGCCTGAAAATCAACATAAAGATTTCAGAGCTGTGCCTGGCTCGGGAGCAGATAAGGCAGATATTTTTAGCAGGGACTGGACAAAGAAGTGGCCTTTCCACACTGCACCTGCTAGCTTAGGAGGGATTGGCCAACTTTCCCAACCTGCACAGAGTGCTCAGTATCTTCAATGAAAGGATAAAAATGATAACTCTGGTATCTTTAAGCCTCAGGTCCTACCCAATGTGCCAATAAATTTATGGGGTCGAGATATTCTAAGCAGCCTGGGTTTGTTATTAATGACTCCAAACTCCCTTGTATCACCTCAGGGACTTAACCAAAAATTTATTTCTCATAGGAAATTAGAAGGGAATCCACGGGAAAGGTATTTACCTATAACCCAGTCTTCCCAGCGAAGACTAGTTAATCCACCAGTCAAAACTTTTGGCAGGGGCATTGACTTTCTTCCTGACCCCCCCCCCCCGCCCCAAACAGCAGCAAAGATGAACTGGCTCACAGGAGAGCCAATCTGGGTTTTCAGTGGACCTGAACTGTTGAGGAAGTTAATATAGCCAATATGTTTTTTAAGGAAAAATGTCAAGCTGGTCATATAGAACCTACTCTTAGTTCTGGAATACACCAATTTTTGTAATTAAGAAAAAGTCTGGTAAATGGAGATTGGTGCAAGATCTCAGGGCAATTAATTATGTTATTGAGCCCACGGCAGCTTTACACCCAGGGCTTCCTTCTACAGTTATTCCTTTAGATTACCATGCAATGGTGACTGATCTAAAAGATTATTTTTTCACTATAAATTTGCATCCAGATGACTATAAAATATTTGCCTTCAGTGTCTGAACAGTAAATTTTAAAGAACCAGTTAAGAGATATTGCTGGAAGGTGTTACCTCTGGATATGTGTTATAGTTCAACTCTTTGTCAGAATTTTGAGGCACAGACTATCACCCCTGGGAGGGAGAAATTCCCTGATGCAAATATTAGTTATTTTATGGATGACATATTTTTGGATCATGCTAGTCTAGATGTACTTTTAAAAGTCGTTGCTCAATTAGAAAATTCACTTACTTCAATAGGGTTATGCAGAGCACCTGAAAAACTGCAAAAAAGTGAGAATGGACTTAAAGAAGGTTGAATTTGCTATTAAAAATGCTCAGCTTTGGGCTGGGGTTGTAGCTCAGTGGTTGAGTGCTTGCTTGGAACGTGTGAGGCACTAGGTTCGATCTTCAGCACCACATAAAAACAATAAATAAATAAAATATATTGTGTCCACTAGAACTAGAACTAAAAAGAAAAAAAATTAAAAACAATGCTCATCTTCCCAGAATTTACCCACAGGAGCCTATATATTTATTTATATTTCCCACTGTTTATGTTCCTACAGGAGAGAAATGGCAATCATTGGGGTCTTTGAATGGCTTCAGTTAGCTCATTCTCTGCAAAAGGCATCAATTTCTTTTCCTGATTTTCTTGCTTGGTGGGTTATTAAATGCAGAATGCGAGGTTTACATCTGGTTGGATCAGAACCTTATACTATTATCATCCCATATTCTACTCATCAGAGTGATTGGCTTTTCCAAACTTCTAATACTTGGCAAGTAGCTTTTGCTAATTTTCCTTGTCAGATAGAATGTCATTATGTTCATGATGAAATTGAATAATTTGCTATAGTAACTATATTTATTTTTTCCAAAAATTGTGCATGCTCAACCAATAGTTGGGGCAATAGTTGGATCAAGCTCAGGTAAACTATTTTGTATAGTGCTTCTCATACAGAGGTAATATAAACATTATATACTTTTGCACAACAAGCAGAATTTCAAGCTCTTACTTGTCCTCTAAGTGATTTTGCAAATGAGCCAATTAAAATTTATTCTGATAGTTTTTATACAGTGGAAGTCACAAAAATATTGAAACTTCAACTATTGGGTATACACCATTACAAGAGTTATTCAATTTGTTTCATACCTTGCAGAAGATAGTTCACATGTATTAACATTCATTTTTTCATCACATTTTTTTAGTTGTAGATGGACAGAATCCATTTATTTATTTATCTTTATGTGGTACCGAGGAGCAAACCCAGGGCCTCACACATGCTAGGTGAGTACTCTACCACTGAGCCACAACCCCAGCCCCTCAACATTAATGTTTCATAGGCCATATTTGGGCCCACACGAATCTCCCAGGGCCTTTAATATGAGACAATGATAAGATTCATAAACTCATTGCTGTCTTTCAGCAAATGTTTTTATATGGCTGTGCACAAGCTTCTTATTCTTTGCATCATCAAAATGTTTTTAGTTTGCAAAAAAAAAAATTACTAGAGAGCAAACTATCAAGTTGTATGTGTGTACTCCCAATGTGCTATACACTTCCCACTTTTACCATCTGAGGTAACTCCCCACGGGTTATGACCAAATCAGTTTTGGCAAATGGATGTAACTCACATTCCTCAATTTGTCCAACATTTTATGTACATATAATTGTAGACACCTATTCTAGATTTGTCTTTGCCACACCCATTTAAAGGAAATACTCAACATATTGTTTCTCATTGCCTAGCTCTGTTTGCAGTACTAGGGTGGCCTTTGGCAGATTGAAAGTGATATCGACCAGTCATACTGACCATAAAACAGGTATTCCTTACAACCCTCAGGGTCAAGCTATCATAGAACAAGCTCATTTTTTAAATTAAGCTACAATTACAAAAAACAGGAAGAAAGAAATGACTCCAAAAA